GATATTTCAAGTGACCAAACTATATAAGTGATTTCTTTATGAATACAGTTTGTCTGCTTATAACTGTTATACCCATGTAACTGTGGGTAGCACACCTGAGTGCTTATGATTGCAAAATTATGTATGTTATTATTGCCAATTTTATTGTATAAAGTAGCCCACGAAGTGTTCTGTTGTATTTTTATGTTTCTAAACTCTTTTAAAAATGTAAATATGTTTTAAAGAACTTTTAAAATTATTTTTATCAGAATTATGTATTTGGGGTTTTGATCTTTCAGGATTCAACACTGGGGATTATGGCATCAGAAATTGTGTCTTTTGGGATTCTGGCCCAAACCCCTAGCCTTGTACCCTCGCTCTATAGATTTTCTAACAACTCCTGGGCTTAAATATTTCCTCTTTTATGATACTTCTCCTGATTCAACCAACCACTCATGCTTCCATAGCATTTTAGAAAGACTTGTTGTATAGCATTTATCAAGCTATTGACATTTGTTTTGTTGTCTGTCCCTTCCATGATCCCAGTAGCAAACTTGTAGTACAACTAATTCATGTTGTTTTTCCACTTGCATCCTGAGCATTCTCAATAAAAGATACGTTTTCTTTCTTTTGTAAGGACAAAAATGTAGCATTGTATGGTCTACTTGATTAGAGTTACAACCTCTATACATTCTTGAAACTAAGAAGACCAGCAGACAGAGAATATTTGTAGAATCTTCTCAGGAATTGGTTTCAACATAAGGGTCCAAGACCTTGGCATTGCTGAGGTTTTCAGAATTGTACCTTTTAAGTTAAGCCTGTGACTATTTACTAATCTGAAAATATCTTTAACTTCTTTTTTTTTAAATCTGTAGGCATTTCTAAGAAGCACATGACATTCATCTTTGAATAGAATTTTTTTTTGAATGACAGTTTCTTTCATTTAGTAGAGGGGATTTTACTTTAAATTTTGCTGGCAGGTTTTCATGACAGCCCTCAAATGGAAGCTTGAATTCACTTGTCATAGCTATTAAAGAGTTGTTTTTTTTGTTTTTTTTTTTTTTTTTGGTGGGGGGGATGCATTTCTGTGATCTGGCCCTTCCACTTATTGCTATTATTGACCTTAAAACTATAGAAGAGAATAATATAGACAAAGCCTCTATTTTTGAAGGCTTGCTGTAATCCAGAATTGAAGTCAATTCATTGTTGAATTTTCCTCTTAAAATCGTCCTCATAATGTAGCAGAATCTTGCTACTTTTCACTTTATACTTGAAACCCCTTTAATTCTCAGGAGAACAAGAGCACCTGGTAGATTTTATTCAGCATCAGCAAAGACTGAATAGCAGGAAAATGATGTTAAGACTTTTTTTATATCAAAAGGATTAAAATACATAAGCCCAAGATAGCAACATAATTGCAGTACTCTGCCTTGACTATGTTTTATTTACAATCTATTTTAATATTTGTGTTTTAATATTCAATTCACCAATCAAATAATGTTCTAAAACTATAGCAGATAGCTTTTATCTGAAGGTACAGTTATCAAAAGTTTTCTGTTTCTCATATAGGGAAGCCGATGTACAGAATCTTGGGTAATATTATCTGGTTTTTGTTGTTTGTCCTGGGGGCAAAGTGCTAGATAATGAGGAAAGAATATATGTGGAAAAATTATTCTTCAGAAATGTATATTAAAATTCCGTTGTATAACAATGCTATTAATTTTTGTAGGAATTACTCTTCAAATCTTAAAAACCAGACTATCTACTAATTCACCAGTCTTCTCAATATTTGACTCATATTCAACAACTAAATATGCATGCAATTTAAGGGGCCTGTTCTTTGTAAATTATTTGGAGCATAGATTTTTTCCTTTTTATGACAACAAGGCTGCTGTAGGGATGCCTTTATCATAGGGCAGCTCTTTCCATTAGATTCTAGTTTAGAGATTCTTATTATCAACCTTGAAATGGGTGGTGTTATTGTTAGAGCTTAATATTAAACATGTCTTGATTTACATAAAGAATTACCGTTAAAACTATCAATCACCTCAAGGCCGGGTGCGGTGGCTCATGTCTGTAATTCCAGCATTTTGGGAGGCTGAGGTGGGTGGATCAGTTGAGCTCAGGAGTTGGAGACCAGCCTGGGCAACATGGTAAAACCCCATCTCTACTAAAAAAATACAAAAATTAGCCAGGCGTGGTGGTGTGTGGTTGTTGACCCAGCCACTCAGGAGACTGAGGCACGAGAATCACTTGAACCCAGGAGGCAGAGGTTGCAGTGAGCTGGGATTGCGCCACTACACTCCAGTCTGGGTGACAGAGCCAGACTCTGTCAAAACAAAACAAAACAAAAAACAAAACAAAACAAAACCCTCAAAAAACAAGACAACAACAAAAAAAGAAAAAAACTATTACCTCAAAATCTTTAAATAGTGGTTCACACTGGAAAATAAAAAAAAATGTTTTAACATGGAAATAATTGTGTGTTTATGTGTATATGTTTGCTTTTAAAGTTTTACACTTTTAGACAAATTATTATTTTTTTCCTTGTCATAAAGAAATTTCATTTTGATCATCATTTCTCTAAAAGAATTTTTTTTTTTTTTATCAGCATGGTACTTACAAAGAGCCTATCCCCCTTTAGACAAATTATTTTAGGCAGCCAAGTTTAGTTTGTTTATTGGGTTTCATGCTGTAAATTATGCTAATTTATGAAGGCTACTTGTTGGATGCTTGTAGTATTCATATAATATTTAAATGCAAAAGAGAATATTAATATAAAGCATTATCAATTAAATTTTATTCAACCTGATAATGTTTTCTGTGATACATGACCATCTTAGGTGTATAACTAATTTTGCATTACCATTTATGAGTGATATAGTTGTGCTCTTTTTAAAGTGTATATGCAATTAGTAGTGGTTATATTCATTTCATGAAATCTCTTTGACAGTTCTTTGTTTTAGGAGTGTAAGTAATTTTCAATTATAATATATTCATATATTTTTAAATCTCATTTCCATATGAGATTTATGTAAAGATGGGGTCATTCTTAGAATGAAATAACTCTATTCAGAAGGACACAGTCAAAAGCTAGGAATTCATTTGTTATTCCTCTGTAGTTGTTAGGACAGGAGCACTAATCTGGCCAACTAACCTTTAAAAGAACATGCAAAGTCAAAGATGTCAGGTTGTATCAGTAAATATTCACCGCCAAAGTTTGTATATCAAAGACTGGGACTTTCGAAGATGCTCCTGGGACTTAGTGTACTGTAACATCTATTAATCCCTGATACCTTAGGTGACTTGTCATAGAAGTGCTACATTTACAAGTAGTATGCAAGGAGGCCCAAGAGGACAAATTCAGTTAAAGGTCAAGAAAGCAATTAACGTTCTCTACTTTTCCCTAAAGAACTTCCACAGCAAGTGTTGCCCTCCCCCTGCACCCCCAGTCTTAGCAAGGCAAGTGCATATAGTGAAATAGAAGTTAAAGTTCAAATAAAACACGTTACCAATAGTATTTGGTTCTTAGAGCTTTTCCTGAATATGAATGCATACAGTTGTTTAAGGTGAAGTACAGTGAAAAATATTAGAAGAGACAGCTCTTGCTGAAAAATACCAAATTTCAATTTCTTTGTTTCCCCTGCATCTCTGTCAAGGGTCAATGTTTGCAGTAGTGGTAGAGGTGGGTGGTAGGCTGGGCCCTTCCTGTGGGTATGGTTAAATTGGAGTTCTTTTGAGGAGTACATGATTCTGTTTGTATTCTAAGCAGGACACACACACACACACACACACACACACACACGCACGCGCGCGCATGCACCCCAACCCTCTATTTTCTAGTCCTTCCACACACACACACACTTGTGTTCACTCAGATCTTTTCTTTTTGATGAACGTGTTGAACTCCCCAAAACTGTCCTTATAAGGTGAGTTTCAAGATTTCTGACCTCTCGGTTGCTACGATTTCTCAGTGTCCCTCTAAAGTGGGCCTTCCCTAACTGGATGTACAAGTATAATCTGACTGGTGTAAAATAAAGCCTCTACCTCCCTGATTTTGGAAATTTTATTTTTCATGTGGGCTAGGTGCACCGATTTTTTGATGGTCATATTAAACTTTTGACTCATGTTGAGCTTGTGGCGAAGTAAATGTATCTATCTGTCCCCACCCCCTACACAGTGCTGCTAAACTCAGGCTGAATATGGTCTTTAGACTTATCTTTGTTAGATTTCACATTGTTAAGGCCAATTCATTGTTATAACTCAAGAAATTTTCCATCACATTTAGTTTTCTGTTATACTTGTTGTCGCCATCACATTTATATATTCTGAAAACTTTATAATACTTGTAATGTCATCAGTTAGTCAAACCATTGACAAAACTGTTCATCAAGGCAAAGCTGAGAACACACCATTTATTAGAAATGCCTATCCAAGTGGGCACCAGAGCCAAGAGCGTTGGGAGTACTGTGGAAAAGCACTTTCATCCAATCCAACAATTCTTCATAGGGATGCCATGAAATACCACATGTTTGTGTCTGTGGATTTCCAATTTTTCCAAGGGCAGGGACCATGTCTATTTGGCTAGCTACTATATTCCATCACTCAGCACCATGCCTGGGACACAGAACAACTAGGATTGCACTGGGTGGCCAATATGAAGAGGTGGGTTCTTATATTCCATCACCAATCTTTCTCTTAATCTATATGAACTGATTGGTGGCTCTTAAAATACATTGCTTTAAAAAAGTGCATCAATTATTATTTGTTGCATGTAGCACTGCAGAAGTAGATAGTGGTGATTTCAGCTCCCATAAAAATAATAATGATGTTGCCACCCTGATGATTGGCAATATTAGCTTGCATTATGAGTCATTTTCAAATAGTTTACCTTATTATTTCTCACCTAAAGTCAATTCAAAAGCTCCTTAGTCTAAGCAGAAATGCTGTATTTCTGTCAAGTTCTTTTCTCTTTTCATGGATTTACTTATACAACTATTACCTTTTTCTTTTCCTTTCAGAGACCAGAGAAGACTATGATGACAAGCAGGTGGTCACAGAGATCATGGCAAGATGTTTTATTCCGACTTCGATAACAACTACTTCCTGGGAAAGTTTTCATTTTATTGGTCATGAGATTCGAATTACTGAGGCCATGGATTGTTATGGTGCTGTTGTTTGGCCATCGGTATAATTTCATACAGAATTTGTTACATTCCAATTATTTTTCCAGCCAGTTTTGTTCATTATTATGTTCTATTTGGAAGAAGAAAACAGGTTCCATATTCCTTCTTTGTGACCTCAAATAATACTATGTTTTAGAAATCATGTGATTGGGAAATTACTTCTCCCAATTAACTCTATAATTCTATCTTAGCTTCCTTTTTTTTTTCTTTTTTTTTTTTTTTTTTTTGAGACAGAGTCTTGCTCTGTCACCCAGACTGGAGTACAGGGGCATGGTCTCAGCTCACTGCAACCTCTGCCTCCTGGGTTTAAACTGTTCTTCTGCTGCAGCCTCCTGAGTAGCTGGAACTACAGGTGTGCACCACCACGCCACGCTAATTTTTGTAATTTTAGTAGGAATGGGGTTTCACCATGTTGGCCAGGCTGGTTTCGAACTCCTTGCCTCAAGTAATTTGTCCACCTCCGCCTCCCGAGGTGCTGGGATTACAGGTGTGAGCCACCACCCTGGACCTCAATTTTTTTTTTGAGACAAAGTCTCACAATTGTCCCTGAGGCTGGAGTGCAATGGCATGATCTCGGCTCACTGCAACCTCCACCTCCCAGGTTCCAATGATTCTCCTGCCTCAGCCTCCCGAGTAGCTGGGATTACAGGCGCCTGCCACCATGCCTGGCTAATTTTTGTATTTTTAGTAGAGATGGGGTTTCACCATGTTGGCCAGGCTGGTCTGGAACTCCTGACCTCAGATGATCCACCTGCCTTGGCCTCCCAAAGTGCTGGGATTACAGGTATGAGCCACTGTGCCTGGCCACGGGGCCTCAATTAATTGTATTTCTGACTTTATTAAAATTTGTAGGATTAATACAGGGTGTTTACTTCTTCAGTTTTTAAAAGAAGAGTTTAGAGCAGTAAACACTTTCATTTCCCCTTTTATTAGTTCCATTGGAGTTAAACAATTGCAATGAAATCTTTATGAGTCTCACATGTAGAATGTCCTCAAAGACCCTCAATCCTTTACCAACTGTCCCGTGAAGAGTAGTGGACCCACCACCCCACCTGCCCCGATCCCACACACTACTTGGAAATGACTAGTATTATCAGAAGTTGCTTCCTTTAAAAATGATCAAACCTAAGCCACTGAATTCCACTGTTTTAGTTCTCTCTCTTTTCCTCTCAGTAATCCCCAAGGAATTTTTCTAGCAGAAATGTTGAACCTCTCAGAGGATGCACTTTTGTTGACATTTCTTGGAGTGATGTACAGGTACACACATGAGTACTCTCACATACTCATATATGCACGCATTCATATCATAACATTAGCGACATATTTATCCAATAAAGTTTAATTTTACTTTCTGTTATTACTTGCCAAGCATCCCTGTTTTCCTTTTTCTAACTTTCATAGGCCCTTGTTCTATGCTATTTCCTGGAAACAAATGCAAAGCAGTATAATATGGTTGACAAAAACGTGATTGAAATTGGAGCTGGAACAGGACTAGTCTCCATTGTGGCAAGTTTACTTGGTAAGCAGATATTTCTGATTGAATAGAGGGAGTGTCAGAGAATTTGATCATCAAATATCATTAGTTGTTTTACTATTCAGTGTACTATGACCTGCACCTATCTGGGACTCCTTAATTGTTTGAATGGGCTTCATCTAGAAACTACAGATTGTAAAGTCTCCTTACCGGTTTCTTTCATAGTTTTCTGCATTAAGTTGTATTAATTCTTCTTGTGGAATACTGTCACAAGCCTCAGATGAGGTGTTCTAACTAAGCGGTGCACGGAAGCATTCTGGTTGCAAGAGGAGAAATGTGAAATACTCGGCAGAGGCAGATTCTATTGCTGCTGATTCAGACGCACTTTAAATTTTAGCACCATTTCAGTGTTCCCACGTAGTTGTAGATTCTTTTTGAGTTTTGAAGTGCTATGTTTTTATGAAAAAGCACGTGTTAGAATAGGGAGAGAGTATTAGAAATCACATAAAAATCACACGTCTGCTTCTATTTTTAGGTGTTTGTCCTTGAATTTGTTTTCTCAGTTCATCTCCATTCTTTTATTTTTTCTCTGTCGCTCAGGTGGAGTGCAGTGGTGCGATCTCCACTCCCTGCAACCTCCGCCTCCTGGGTTCAAGCGGTTCTCCTGCCTCAGCCTCCCCGAGTAGCTGGGACTACAGACACGCACCACCACACCCAGCTAATTTTTTTGTATTTTTAGTAGAGAGAGAGTTTTGCCATGTTGGCCAGGCTGGTTTCGAACTTTTTTTCACAGGTGATCCACCCGCCTGGGCCTCCCAAAGTGCTGGGATTACAGGCGTGAGCCACTGTGCCTGACCCACCTCCATTCTTTTTTATTGTTACCCTGAGTTCTCTCACGAGCATCTTTTCCAACTAAGCATGTGATAGTTTTTAATATATGCCTGAGCCTATTTCAGTTCAGTCTTTTTGCTATTGTTATCTATCTCATTGCCTTAGTTTAGCTCCTTCTCTGATGTGTGCTACCCAGACCCATCCTGATTTCCTTGATCTTCAGAAGTGCACACCTGCCACTTTAAAATCTTTAGAGGAATTGAACATTTAGCAATTTACAGCTTTCAAATTTGTTTTTATAAGAGTATTTATAAGTCTCTTGGAGTCTTCCCAAATACATTTTTTTTTAAAGTTGCTGTATCCTGATATTGTTTGCCAAAGTCACTATTCCATTTAGTAAGGATAGGTCAGAGTCACTATTCGATTTATACCTGAAAGCCTGACTTAGGAGCAGAATTTGTGCTTCGGGGAGTCATTGATTTTATTAAAAAGAACTGGTCCCTTGAGTCTGCTTGTCTAACTTGGAACAAATATTAAAAGATAGAAACTTTGATTAGTCAGTATGCTGAAAGTGGTAGTATTTATCTCTCTAGGCAAAAAGATATTAGGGGGAGTTTACATTCAATATGGGCAAAGGTGTATTCCCTACCCTGAGATTTAAAAAAGGTTTGTTGAAAATGATAGACCCACCCATAGTAGAATGTAAAGGCTTGTATCTCCGTGAGTGTATCAATGATAGGCATATCTCCCTCCCATTTTAATGTTTTCACAAAATACAATTGATGCCAAGAGACTCGTGATATTGCTGCTGAGGAGTAGCTTCTTATTTGTCTGAGCTGAACTAGACTTCTCTTCCATTTCTGCTTTCTTGTTCTTTACCTGGTGTGTGCTTTTCTGATGCTGCAGAATTGGACAATCTTAGATTTATTTGCAGATTATTTTCAGCCTTTGCTACTGCTCAAAGCTTACTTTAGTGACCAAATTTCTACAAATTTGCTTCTGCCATATTTCTTCCTCAAAAACCCATCACTACTCACTTCTATCTTGGAAATTGTTTACATCCTCTTCTGTGAGCGGTAGCTTTATGAACGCTATACACTTGCTGTGACTAGGTTTTTAGCATCTTTTGATGGGAAGATTTACACTTGTGATGGGCCAAGTTGAAAACCTGGGCATAGCATGGATGTCGTCACACTTTTCAGGTAATGCCATGGAAAGGCCTTCTTTCCTCCCTCCACTTCTCACTTGAGCACTTCCTGTTCAACTATAGGATGTCCGATGTTGCATACACTCACTTGGTCTCACACGACTGAGGCTCAGAATTCTTTTAGGGAGGTACCTATTCTTCCATCAATGACTTCTCGTTGTTTCAATGAGGGTGCCAAATATTTTGACTTTCTCTTTCTCTTGATTATTTTTCTCCTAGTATGTAGTAGATAAATAGCAAACAAAAACAATAGTAACAGCAAAACATACCAGAACAAAAAACCAGGAGAACATAAAAAATGCAATGGTGCGCAAAAGTACCATGGGTCTCTCTCTGTCTTTTTTTTCTCTTTAAGCAGAGGCATATAGCTGCTTTAGCATCCATTTGAATGGGATTCCCTTTCTGTGTATAGGTACTGACGAGTCTTGTTGTGTAGGGGGATGAACAATTTTGCAGAATTACAAAGTGCATGTTGGCTTGAAACTCTTGATTGTTCTACCTTATCTCATGAGGGTTACTTTCTCTACTGTCCTTTGCTTCACAGGTGCTCATGTGACGGCCACAGATTTACCCGAATTACTTGGAAACCTGCAATATAATATTTCCCGAAACACCAAAATGAAAAGCAAGCATTTGCCTCAGGTTAAAGAACTCTCCTGGGGAGTAGCTTTAGATACAAACTTCCCCAGGTCTTCTAATAATTTTGACTATATTTTGGCAGCAGATGTGGTCTACGCTCATCCTTTCTTGGAAGAGCTCCTCATTACCTTTGACCATCTGTGCAAAGAAACCACCATCATCCTCTGGGCCATGAAATTCAGGTTGGAGAAGGAAAATAAATTTATAGATAGATTTAAGGAGTTGTTTGACCTGGAGGAAATTTCCAGTTTCCCTAGCCTGAATATTAAGTTGTATAAAGCTGTGAAGAAAAACCGGAGGAGTGTATGACATCCTCAGTGAGGACGTGGAAAGGTTAAGGCAATTTTTAGCAAATAATCACTTGAAAGAAAACCCTGAATAACCTTATGTGCCATTGAGTTTCCCAAGGGCGAATACACACACAGATGCACACACACACACACACCCCACTAAGAGAATAGAAGACAGTTTTCCAAATTTGCCTCACCCCAGGCAGTAATTTTTCCAGATACTGCATGTGAGTCTGTAGGATTGGGGGTAACTTGTTCCTAGTTTGTCTCCATCAGCACCCAGGCCTGCCTTCTACTCATGCAGTAATAGAAACTCTTGGCAAAGTCACACTGTGCTGTCATTGTCTGCTGTACTTATTCCTTACATCACCATTTATCATTATTTTAATCAATGGTGCAATTATTATTTTTAACGTATAGTCACAAAATGATAGTTTTTAATGATATCTCTTCAGTGAAACTTGTTATTAATTCTTTTAAACATAAGGTTATTTTTTTCTCTTTAGAAATAAGGAAATCAACTACAGTGGGATCTGCAAATAAATCTGAACAGGCAGATACATAATGTAATGGTAAATCTCAGACTTTTGTGGTTTCCATTAGTGCTATCTTACAGGTGGTCTATCATCTCTGCCTGGCAGAGTGGACCTCTGATGTAACCTCTGAAATCAGTCAAGCTTGTGGATTTGAGGTCATGGATGAGGACATTTTATTCTGTCCAATGAAAAATGAGTGAACACAAGCAAAAATTGTTGAGATTTTGGAGAAGTTATTGTTTTGTTTTAAGCCAACGATCATTATTTTGTATCACAAAAACAGAAATAAGCATAAACACTTCGGGTTAAAAATATGTATGAAAAGATTTAGGTCTCTGATCTCAGATAATCAGACATATAGCTGGTTGTAAAGTTTAAAGCTCTTCTGATGAACATATATACATCTAGATACTTGAAATACAATATGATTTTTTTTTTCACATAAACTTTCCTTAGAGTAGAATTTCCTTAGGGTAGAATAAAGTCTGTAGTAATTAAAGTCAGTGCAAAAAGAGCAAAGAATTAGGATTTTGTACTATGTAACTGCCTAGACGACACTGGTTGGCAATTACTCTGCCATGTCCCCAGTAACATTTTTTAGGCTGTTACTGTGCCCTCTGGGTGATACTTTCCTTTCTAGAATTAATCCTTTCTGCTTTGCTGAAAGTTTTCTGTCCACTCCAGGTTGAGTATAGTTGAAAAGAATATTTTCTAGGACTCTGATCAGTAAGTCAGGCTACAAATATACTCCAGTGTATTTTATTTTATTTTTTTAGTACATGTGGTTCATAGGACAATCTCTCAATAATTCCCAATATTTACATGGATCTCTGTCATTTTCACAGTCTGTTACTTACATAAAGTCACTTAATCCTCATAACCATTCTAAGAGGTAGAAGCTATGCTATCCCTACTTCACGGATAAAGAAACTGAGGCTGAGATGTCCCCAGGCTACATAGCTGCAGAGTGGTAGTGCTACGACATTCAAGTCCAGGTCTGTACAAGCCCAAATCCTGTATTAACCACTGCACTGTCTTTATATATTTAAAACAAGAATTTTCAAGCTTTTAAAAGCAGGTGAAGTCATTCCTTCAAAAATGAAATAAATATACAGAAAGATAAGCAAATACATGAGAAAAAAAATGAGACCTGTTCCATTTTAAAACTTGTATTTCCTATGTGAGTAGGTCAGGGTAGGCTTGTTTCGAAGGCGATATTTAGGTGAAGCTGACAGGAGGTAGCAGTGCAGGTGTCTGGGGAAGGGTGTTGCAGGCAGAAGGAACAACCATGCAGGGATCTGGAGGAAGGAGCCAGTCAATCCTCTGGAAATATCAAAGGCCAGTGTGCTTGGCACAGAGCAAGCAGGAGAGGTTGGTGCAGAGTGAGCAAGTATTTAGAGAGGCTACAGGGAGCTAGATCACGTAGGACTGTGTTGCAGGCTGGGTTCTCTAGAAACAGACTCTGAGAGGGAATTGGGTGAGCAGATCATTTTTTAGGGAGTGCTGTTGAAATGAAGACCTATGGAAGGGAGTGGAAGGAAGTAGGACAGAAACAGGTCGAACTGCAGTGCAGGCCCAGTAACAGTCTGATGTGACCCCCAGACAGAGCACTGGCCTGAGAGTGGCCTCTGGAGTTGTCCTGATTGGGAAGATATGTCTGGGCCTAGATGACCCTGTGTGGCCCAGTCATTGGATATGGGCTGCCCTGGGAAGACTCTGTGACCTTGGGTGAGGTGACTTCAGCTGAGGCAGTCCTGAAGACATTGACCAGCTCCAGCAGCAGGGGTTAGGTCACCCTGAAGAGGATCTGGGTGGCTTATCACAGGGTCCAGCATGACCTTTAGGCCTCAGAAAGAGCTCTGGCTTTTCTTCTGGTAGAATGGAGAATCTGTGAATGGTTTTGTGAGTAGAGGAGTCAAAGAAACTTTCCTCATGTAAGCACCACTCTGGCTGTCATTTTGAGACTAGAATGGGGAGAGATGAGACCAGGGAGAGGCTGCCGCAATCTGAGGTGGCAGCCTGCATTGGGGTGGCGAGAAGTGGCCAGTTCTAGATGTGTTTGGCTGCCAGAGTCAACAGACCTTCCCACCATGTAGAGTGTAGAGTGTGGGGGAGAAAGAGTCAGTGCTGAGTCACTGTGCATAAATTTATAGTCAACAGCTTAGAGATAGTTTGTGAAGCTCCCTCAGGGAACAAAAAGACTAGACAGAGGGTAGAACAAGGACTAGGCCCCGAGTCATTAAGAGATCACATATGGGTGTGTATACTGAGATGATTTTGAAGGTTCTACATGCTCTCCCCAACTCCAGTTATATGCGTATCTGTTGACTTTGAACAACATGAGTTTAATACCACAGTGGTTTTTGAACTGGTCAGTAGAGTTCCAAGGCTCTCGAAAGCTGCCTCTAGAGGTTTCTGGGAGCCTGAGAGTTGGAAATGCAGCAGAAACCTTGGGGTAACAAATGAAAAAATAGCTCCTCTGCTAAGAAAATATTTGAATATCATTACTAAGTTATTTTTAGGTAGAATACGTAAGGTGTCCTTTCAAAGACAGCATTAGGACCAAACTAAACATACAGTTCTGTAAAGTTCATCTTTCTCTGTGTGCCAATCTGTCAAACGCAGTGTTCCGGATTCATTGTTTTATTCTGTTTATAGCATTCACTCCCAAAGTTTAACACCCACCCACACACACCACGCCCCTCTTTTCCACTTCATTCTGTTATCCACTTCATTCTTTTATTCTTTTGTCTTTTTGCTGCAGTTTCTCCATACTTTTTAGATCCAATTTTACAATAATTTAATTTCAAAAGATGTAATTGGAGTAGACCTTTTCTACCTTACTTTTTTTTTTTAAAAAAACTACTGGGAATTGATTTGTTAACTTCAATCTAAGGGAGTTATTTTTTTTTTTAAAAAAACTTTTTATCTGGCTTTTTGACAAGCTAGACTATGTTATTAAAAACCTTGGTCCAATTCTTTCAGTAACTTTCTGGATTTCCAATAGAATGAACTTACTGATTGTCAAGGTTTTAATATAGGTTATTACAGAATAGCTATCACTCCATAGAAGACACCCCAACCTGCAGGAGATTCTCTGCAGCTTAAAATTACACACAGGTAACCATGAGAGTTCTGTTCCCTAGACTGTATCAACTGTCTTTGGAAACTAAGTACTGCACTAAAACCGTCTATCTCGGAATGTAATGATATATCCTCTTTGATTTGTACCAATTTTTGTCTACCAGAATTTAGAAAAAAAGCTTTTTTTCATTCCGTATTCATACTCTGTTCCCTTTCTTTTGGATAAAGAAAAAAAAACATTTTTTTACTTCCTAACATATCTGCAGCCAAATAGGAAGCTCACTATTGTGGAAGAAAAAAGCTGAGGAAGCAATAACAGAATGGAGTGTTCCATTTTTTTCGTTAAGGCCTCAGAGTCTAGGAGCTTGGCGTTCTCAGTGGATGCCTGGTCTTTGTAGACAGAGACCATGTCTCATTTGTTTAGGTAGCACCATTGCACATGAACAGACACATAATTTCTAAGTATCATTTGGAAATAAAACACATCCACTGAGTGGAATTTAGCTGCAAGAAGAGATTTGCAGGTATTAACTTTGAAAACAAGCTGGGGACCTTGGATTGTAGATATAAAAGAATTAAAGTCAACCATAAGTAAATCAGACAAGTAAGCTTATTGATAAGACTAAAAGAAATTTAATAGACTGTGCTTCTTCCTACTTCATTTTAATTTAGTTTTCATGGAAATCTGTAGGTGAAGAAAATAAAAATGGTCAACAGTATGTACTTTTAAGGCACATATAAATTATAAGGCGATAACAGGAAATACAGTTGGGAATGGAGCAAGTAAATGATTTGCAAAAGTGTTAGTAGGAATACAGGCACAGCAAAATTTAAAAATTATAGGCATTTGTGTTAGTATGTATGCGTGTGGACCCAGTTCCTTCTATCTTCTTTATGAAGCCTGGAAGTGGTTTGCGAATGAGTTCCATACCCAGATATCACTATGTTTGAGTCTGTGATGTGAAATTAAGTCTAGGATATTACCTGCAAGTCCAGTGTCAGTATTTGCTTTGCTTTGAAGTTCCACACAAAATCAAAGACAGCGTTCTATATAATTATACTGTAGTATTAACGGGATAGTTGTGTCTTAGGTGCCTTGGTTAGCATCAATTAGTTGTGAGGTCATATTAACTCCATTTTGAAGGATTCCTGAGCTGGACATTTGTGTTTACTCAGGTCGCATATGGCTGTGTAGTATTTAGATTGCTGGGCATACACTGTTGACTGCTTATTCTACTGAACTAACCTTTGGTCTCTATCATGAGCAGTGCCTTCACTCTCATGATAGAGACCTCTGTGTTCTTTGTTTGTTGTCTTTGTTTGTTTCTTTGTTTCTAAGGCAATTGTCTTTTCCTGAAATCCAATCAAGTTGGCATTTACCATCAAGGAATTTCAAGGGATTATTAAAAACAATAACAGATATCCAGGTCAGTTTTGTGATAAATGGTATTAATGGGAAAAACGAAAAAATACTGAATATCTTCTGCCAACCAAGAAGACTTTACCAAACCAAAAAATATTGCTTGGTTTTTCAAACTAAGGCACAAAAGAATGAGATTAAAACATGCCATTAAAATATTTTAATAGCTGGGTATTATTTCATGACACTACAAATATAAGTATAAAATTTTTAAAGTGACTTATTTGGCAAATGCTAGATTTTGTAGTTTATGTTTTGAAAATTTCTATATTCTCATTGTCCATAGTCTGCAATGTTTATACTGTTTGTTTTAATTTTAAATTACCTTCACTGGAATTTTTTTTTTTTTAATTTTTAGTGTCATTATTTAATTTGGGTGTTCTTATCTAGTGCCATGGTTCAATTTGGGCTTCTTATCTACTTCTGCGTTTTCTTTGTTAGTAGGGTATGAATCTTAATGGCAAAGGTTGTCTCTTTGTCACAAACCATCATAAATAAGCCCAAAGGACAGGCCATAAAAATGTAAGAAATTCTTAG